CAGGAAGTTGATGTAAGATTAAGACAGTGTATAATTTGGTTCAAGATGGTGGAGAACTTAGTTAGTGCATATATCGTAGTCAAAGTTTCACTTCTGATCACTGAGAGTATGGTGAAGCTTCGACAAGCAAAGTTTGTTCTGTTATGACATGTAAAGAAGTACGATCATCTGAAAGCAGGTTTATTCGTTAATATAATTAATATTATAGTTTATAGAATTATAGTCGTATCAACTCATTTCATACAATAAGATCGTATCCATTATTGCGATTGAATCGATCACAACAGTCTACAGTTCGACACTAATGGCATCTCTCTCTGTCACTCTTTCCTTCGCTTTCTGTATAGATCGACCAGCCAAAGATTGCTAGGGACGAAAGGGGGAAATGCGATGAAAAAACCTTACCATTAGACGATTTTATATGGAGTCATAGGCGGAGATCGGAGAGACTTGAATTATTAATTGAATTTATATTTTATTACAACTGGTAGTATTAATATTTTTTTGCGATTCATAATGACGTGATACCAAACATACATTATAAGAAATAAATATACACAAACACTGAATATTGAGAACAAAATAAATATATTTTTTAGGCAACAAGTAATATTCCTATGTACGCATTATGATTGAACAGCAAAACAAATTATGCATTCTTCTAAAATAGAATACAACAAGTCAAAAATATCTGACTGAATAGAAAAATATAGGAAAACAAAAAGTAATTTCTTGATGAAATAACCCATAAACAACACATAGAATTAGACTTTCTACTGAGATACTAAAAGCCACAAACCAATAGTATAATAAATGAATATCTAAAAATTCTAAAAGGTAGCCAATCTAGTATAGTTTCAATCCTGATTAGAGTCATGATCACTGTCTGAGGAACTGTCATTGCTATCACTTTCACCTCCTATGTTGATTATTATTTCTTCCTGTATTTCTTGAATGAGACTGTCTTTTTCCCAATATTCATCTTCAATTTTTATAACATGTCCAATAACCTTTTGCCAGTCACTGGCACTTACTGAAGCGATGGCCTTATTAGAAATTTCATCTAGTTTTTTTATAGTAAATTCGCCGCTTGTATTATGGCTTCTAATGAAAAATTTTACTTGTGCCCAAATCATCTCTATGGGATTAAACTGACACATATAGGGTGGCGTTCGAAGTGGGGTGTGTCCGAAACTTCTTATTAAATTATCTATCTTATAATTTTTCTCATCAGATGGTGGCCTATGTAGACAAGCTATTTCATAAAGCTCCATTTTTTTAGCATTAGGATCATGCTCTATACCTTTTTTGCTCAACCACGTGATGATGTCTCTTTTTAGAGAAGATCTAGTTGGAGGCTTGTCTTCCAAAGCTGAATGGTAAGGTGCATTATCCATTATTATAATACTATTAGGAGGAATGTTAGGAAATAGTTTTTCAGTAAGCCACTTCGTGAAATTTTCTTGGTTCATTTGACCGTGATAATCACCAGTGGCACAGCCAGCCTTGAAAATGAGACAGGCTCCAGGAACAAAACCATCTTGCGAACCCGCATGAACAATTATAAGTCGTCCTGGAAATGAATAAATAGCCTCATTTTAGTGTTATTTTAAGTTTGCCAACACCTTTTTGAATCACTATGTATAAAAAACATATTTTTGAGAAAAAAATACTTGCAAGGGATTATGTATTCAATTAGACAAATTAAATGAGCACTTATTAAGAATATTCCAAAATTGAGAAAAATGTATAATAAGCAAAATCGAGGTGAAAGAAACTTTATTACCTGTAGAACTTATATTGCTCAGGACACCCATAATTTCTTCGCTTTGCCAGCATTTCTTGAAAGTGAGGTCATTATCAACCCAAGTTTCGTCCAAATAAATAATATGCCTTCCTTCTTCCCGGAACTTTTTAATAGACCTAAGATACTTGTATCGCCAATGTAAAATACTGGGTCTTTCCATTAGTAATTTCCTTTTGTTGTGGCATTTACGCCAGTAAAATCCTTTTGCTTTTAAAAGCAGCCTCAACGATTCTTTACCAAATGGAAATTCCATTTCTTCCTTCAGTTTGATTAGAAGTTTACTACAAGTAGGTACCACTTTAAAATCACAGTAAAATTTTTCTATCATTCTCCGAATAATGGAAAAATCGACTCCATCAATTTTTTGGATCACAGAAGGGCGTGATCTCTTTTTTCCGGGAGAAGCTAAAGGCTGTGTGGAGGTTGCATTTTGCCTGTCTTTATCTTCTTTTCTAATTTTACTTATAGTTCGTTCACTAACACCCGTATAATATGCCGCCCTTGCATTTCTAGCTACCAGTGGATAAACGAAAGTATTGTTAGCCGCTTCTGCATCGCAAGCACGTATCACGTTTGCTATTATTTCCCTTGCCTGGCTGTGAATAACTTTCCCATGCTTGAATTCCATTATCACCACTAAACAGTAAATTATATTTTCAAAGTATTTGCCAACTGCCTACGCCTATGGGAGTAGGTTTATAAATGACCGTGCCATCGGCACGTTATTCTAGTTTCAGATAAGATAAGAGTTTTGGACCAATCAGCGACCGGATGTTTACCTGCGGCCTGGGTTTTCCAGCTACATTGCCAAATTCAGCGGAACAATTCTATATCTTAAATATGTTAATATGTATGGACCGCATTTTATGTAGAACATCTGACAACTTCGCAATTTTTTGTCCGCATTCTTTCGGCTTGCAATCTTTCGCTGGTCCAACTATAGTTGAATGTTATATTTCTTATTTCTATGGTTTATGCTTATTTCAAAGGCTACCGGTGTTGGATGTCTTTTGTATAGGTACAACAGTATATCGGCTGATTGATATCTCCCGCTGTAGGGATGTTTGAAACCGACCGACAGGTATACGGAATTGATGGACAGTAATTAAAAACGGATGATGATGCCAGATTGATCCTTTTGTGCGACTATATGGGATAATGCTATAATGAAGGCGTATCCAAAACATACAAGTAATATACGAGTTCTTGTTGTCCTGCGTCAGAGTGACGATGAAAGCAACTAGTTATAGCAAATGCAAATGGGCAATTTAATTGATTAGAATAAATTCAAATGTTCAAACGGCTTTATCGGTAAGACTTCAGAAAATATGCTTGGTGATACAAGAAACACTCCTACTGCAGAAAAAAGGAGAGCTCCGAAATAAAGGTTCTTTCATATCTTTACACAATCAACTGTGGCATCTATTGGAGGTAGAAGATGAATGTTTTTTAAATAATTTCGCAGTATCAAACTAACCTCGGTCTGTTATCGGAAAATGATAAATATAAGTTCTTCGAAGAAAATTTCAGAATATTCAAACCAAAGTTGGCTCAACGATGCTGTGAGAAACTCATTGGCGTAGAATATTCATCAGGAGTCAAAGAATCTTATATTCAAATCTGGTTTAGCTTCCACAAAAAACACTTTTGTCTGTGGTGGCTCTACATGTACAAGACATTGGCGCTTTATCCGCTCCTTACATGCATTTTTCTCCATTCATTATGTATATTGGTGGAGATTTTATGACCCATATTCATAAAAACTGTTAGCTTTGGGTGCACGCTCCCCCTGGGCAAAATGCAACTCTTCCGACTCACCCTTTTATTCTACGTGTCATACAGATTCTCATAGGACTTTGGTAAACGTTTACACAAAAACACGTCAATTTTTTCATTTTTTTGCAGGCTGAATATGATCTGTTTGCCTTTCGTCTCTACTACCGTAACCAACCGTATATAACATTGCTGCATGCTTTTAGCATACCATCAGTACGGTATAGCTCTAGTCAATTGGAGACAATGACGGAGAGCAAACAAAAGAAAATAAGTTAATTGACATATTATACTAACGTGCTAAGCACAGAGGGGGCATCTGCAGTTAACTTGAATCTGAGAAAAATGCGTTCGAAGTTCTGAATTTGGTTTACCAAATAACCAGAAATGGTTATTTCACGTTCACAGAGTTCATAATTATTTTATTTACATGAAGATAGTTGAATTTCCTGTAAATGTCATTTCATCAACTTAATCAAGCAGACATAGCCAATTAAAAAGAATGACTGGTGTTGAAATATTAAGCAAAATTATGAACTGATTGAACGGTATCTGAAATGTTTATGGCTAACTTGTGTTTGAGGTTAAACAAACACTAAAGCAAAAATGTGAAACTGATACTAAACGCATAACGACTTTAGGCGAGAAAGTATCTAACACAACAGAATGACATTTCAGTACATATGGCCCATATGACAATAATTGTAGATAGTAATAATAATTATTCACCAAAAGACAATGTGTAACAAATCGTATAGCGATTATTAAGTATGGAAAAAAGAATTCATGGCACCTACAGGAAGGTAAAAATGGATACACACTAAAAGCAATAATATGAAAAAGTAAGAGAATAGAACAAAGACAAACTCATGAAACTACATTACATAGAATATGAAGAAATCATCAACGCTATAAAAACATTAATCATCTAAAAATTTCTTTGAGGGAAAGCGTTGAGAAGCATTATACCTAGACAATCAGGGGCATACATGCCAATTATATATTTAATATATGGTACGTATAAATAATTACTTTGTCATCGACAGGGACCATGGACATCACTCACACTTGGCAGTTTACTAATATTTTTAAAAATATACACACACATTTCTAAAATAAGTAGGCTGGGAACGGTTACAATATAAAAAAATTTAAAAACCTCTTTACAAGGCTGTGCTAGGTAGACCTACCAGACATCTACTGCCCTCTGGGCTACAAAAACATCTTTTGAATTTGTGCTCATACTCTTGAAACACACACCTTAATGAAGTTTGCTACTAAGATGGGCATGTAGAGCAACAGCAGTTGATTACACCTCTGCACTGACCTTAAATTGTTCATCAAAAATGCTGCTGAGTGTAGCTTGGAGATTGGTGTTGGCAATGAAATCCCCAACTCAAACACGGATCTAAATACATACCTAGGAACTTTATAGTTTGGCAGCTATTTGTAATTATGGGGGAATCTGCCACCCGTAGGATCAAATTGTCACAATCTTTCTGTCTGTTATGGAACCTCATAGCTACTTTTTTTCTCCGTCAAGAGTAGTCCATTTCTATTAAATCATCCCTTGGTACGATGAATCGTGAGGATTTTTGTTCAAGTATTGACTGCATTTTGTTCGAACTTAGTACCAAAGATGTTGCTTAGCAGAACAGTATACCGAACTGATGATTGCTATAAAGCACGGAACAATGTTGTTAATAGTAGCAGAGATGGAAGGCAAATATATTCTGTTCAAATAAAAAATGGAGCTGCTGACCTATACCTAAGAGTACGTTGCTGATGTATTTCCTAATAAACACCTTCTCTGATCTAAACCTCTGTCACCCTGTGTAATACACGTAATCACCAAACCGAAATGAATTCCTTTTGAACTGCGTTCTCTCCCCTGTTGCCGCTCCAGGCGAAAACGATTTAAATTCTGATATTATTGTCGTTGTGTGTGAAATGAGACGGCGATTCTATGACTACAAAGTGAAGTCATTTCGCTGTAACTAAATAAACGGAAAATTGTGTGAGTGTGTGTGTATATTTCCAACCCCTCTTTCTGCGACACGTATTCTAATGCGCTTAAGCACTAGGCACCAGATTTCGTTTGGTGTGCCCTTAGGAACAATAGGGGTGGCGTTTACTCCATTCGATGCGATACGATGAGATCTTTGCATAACCGTGATGACACTTGTTTATAGAACAGATCTTTTCGTTTTCCGTGGTGGGTCAAAACTGTTAATATACATAAATCGGGTGTAAAGGTACGGAGTTGAGTGGTAAAAGGTGTCCGGGTATCAATTGAACCCCCTCTAACTTCTTTAGATAACCTTCTAGAAGAAAAAGCTTTATAAAGAAGTTATAGGGTCTAATATGACGTGTCTTATGTAATATCTTTTGTTTTTTGTATAACAGGTGTCAGAAAAGGGCTATCGAATAAAGTTTTATTTTTTTTAAATGGAATACCTTGAATATTTTAAGTTAAAATGATGAGTCGCTTTTTTAGAATTCTAAATATTTATGGTTTGTTGAACGTATTTTTATTACTCTAGTAAAAACTTGAAGTATGTGTGTAATTTAATCATATGTATTCCGGCCCTACAACAGATTGCATAGGCGGCTAGAAGCAAACTGGTTCAAACTCGGATACACACGAATAAATGAAATAAAAAACCTTTTGGCCAAACTGATGAAAATAAGTATGATAATCAGAAAACATGGACTTGTAAACAAAAAATAAAAGGAAACACTTCATTATAGATCCTACAACTTTTTTGGGCAACTTTTTCTTTCGGAAGATCATATAAAACAGTTAAAGCGGTCAATTTATAGAGAGACTCGCAATATTCAGTATTTCCGGGAATAGACAAAAGAAACTGAATTTTCCTAAAATTGTTTTTTATTTTTTCCTGACTTTATTTGATATGGTTCTGAAAAGCGAACAAAGAAGAGATTCCATCGCACGCAACTGGTTAATACACAAATGTTTTACATGGTCATTATGCCTAATATTCAGAGTTATTATATACTAAGTGACATATAAATCCGAACACCCAGTTTAAATGATTTTATTTTAATAAAAGTTTGTATAAGTACTTAATGAAGCATAATAAGTAAATGATAAAAATTTCAAAATGATTGCACTGCTTTAAAGCCCTTTGATCTTTAATAATGTGTGGATGCACCCTGATGTGCTACGCATTCTCCAACGCGCCAACGCATGCTTCTGATCAGGTGGTCAATGTCCTCCTGTGGTATCTCATTCCAGGCAACCACCAACTCCTCTCGAAGTGCTTCTACAGTCTGAGGAGGACGTTGCAAATTGAGCAATCTCCTACCCATCATATCCCACACGTGCTCAATTGGGGATAAGTCGGGAGATCTTGGTGGCCATGGTAACAATGTGACATCATTATGTTGAAAGAAGCCTATTGTGACTCTTGCAACATGTGGTCGGGCATTATCTTGTTGGAAAGTTGGATCTGCCAGGGTGTCAAGATAGGGTAAAAGATGGGGTTCTAGAACTTCGTGGATATAACGCTGCGCGTTCATGTTACCTCTGATGAAGATTGAAGGTGACCTGGAACCATAAGCTAAAGTACCCCAAACCATAACTCCAACAGTGTGATGAACATGTCTTTCAACAAAAAACTGTGGATTCCTCCTTTCCCACGTCGCCTTCTAACCCTGGCACGACCATCGTGCATGCCTAAACAAAATCGAGACTCGTCACTAAAGACAATACTGTTCCATTAATGATCCCAGAGTGACCGTTGTCTGCACCACTCAAGGCGATTACGTCGGTGTTTTCGAGTTAAAGGGAGGACCCAGTGTGGCCGGTATGAAAACAAGCCAAAACTTCTCATTCGTCGGTAAACACTTCGCATACCAATAGGTCTTCCGTGTTCTGCAAGCCATTCATTTGCAATGGACCTGGTAGTGGAGAAACGGTCCCTTAAGGCCAATAATCTTAGGCGGCGATCTTCTCGGTCTGTTGTTCTACGGCGGCGTCCAGTGCCCCTTGCTCTTTGCGTACGGCCTTCTCGAAGCCATGCCTGACAACACCTAACCACAGTGTCTACACTTCTTTGCACTCTAACTGCAATTGCCCGAAAAGAAAGTCCAGCTTCCCGAAGTCCCACTATACGGCCCCTATCAAACTCACTAAGTTGACGAAATCGTACAGGTCTCCGTACTCTAGGCATCGTAACCGATCGTAAAGGATGTCAAGAATCAAAATCCGTCAACGTTGATTCTTTACTGCGGCTGAAATATTCATTTTTAGAGCGTTAGTGAATTTAAAAAAAGCAGTATAAAAACCGGAATGTCCAACTAATGAGGCTGAAAATTTTTTCACTTGTTATTTACAGTAAGATAAATACATTCACCAACTTTTATTAAAATAAAACCATTTAAACTGGGTGTTCGGATTTATATGTCACTTAGTATAATTTCAAGATTGTGAATTCTAGTTTTCTAAAAAATACCATAAATATTGAGAATATTTTATTTTTTCTACTTATATAAAAGTGAGCAAAACTCAAACAGTTTTCCTTCTCAATCTTTGCCCTACAAAGTGAAAGATCTCAATTTACTTCACATCTTGAATATTTCTCAAAAATTATAAATCCGCAGTCATCCCAGCTACAAAGACAATGATATCAGAATTTAAATCGTTTTCGCCTGGAGTGATCCGGAAAGAAAACCTTCAAAAGGAATTCATTTCGGTTCGGTGATTACGTATATTATTTTTTATGCTAGGTTACGTCTGGTGTATCATTCCATTTGTTGTTGCGGTGCATTCTTTTCCCAGTGTGCAATTAGACTTGTATCTCGCCGCAAGGATAGAATAAGGAATTTTATACTTTATGCGTTTCAATTGTTTGTACCGGGGTGATACGCAAAAAGGGCATAACAAACCAAACCGACATTATACATTGCATATTTGTAAGATCGTACGCGTTCAGAGAATATTTTTGGATAATCTACATTTCAAGTGCTTAGTCGTATTTTTTCTGTTAAAGGCCGTATCGTCTGTCGTTCCTACAATTGTAGGACGCCTTTATGACTTCCCTGATTTTCATAGTATTTTCTGTCCTTCAGAAAGGCAGGGTATTTCTAGATTTCTACTGATTTGTGTAAGCGCTCTGTTTTAAGGTTATATTTTAATTTTTAATTCCCAGAAATTCCAAGCTGATAACTTCATTTTTGCCTACTGTTTCGTCAGCATAAAATTTCTTATGTGTCAAAAAGAGAACATAAACTCACTATAAAAGAGAGCTGACATTGACACGGACCAGTAGAAATCTATAAAAAAATCCAGCCTTTCAGGAAGAGAGAAGATTATGAAAATCCATAAAGGCATCCTGCAACTGTATTAGCGATTGACGATAAGTCGTACTCTTCTAACAACAGCTTTTTTGTACAAACCGCTTTATGGCAATATAATATCTGAATCTTAATTAACTAAAATTCTCTTTCAGCGTGACAATAGAAATTCGAGGGTATTTTTCACTATTTCCCTCGTCTTAATTTCCACCAATCTCAAACGCGCAGTTTTGAATTATGAATGGTTTCTAGAAAATTATCTGACAGCACCTGTCAGCAGTTTTGTCGAGTTTACCCGCGGCAAAACTTGACAGCTGTTGTCACAAAAAATTACAATACCTTTGATAACAAGTAATTATGGTCTCCTAGAACACCAGAAAACGACGCTAAACAATTTTTATGATTTTATTGTCAATAAATTTTGTCATCTTGTTTTCAAACAGTGGCAGAATAATCTGTTACTCATGAAATTGTCTTGTCAAATACCATTTGTGCATCCAATTTTTTCCTGTGTGTCTTCGACTCGGATCCTTGTTGCCGACAGCACTCATGCTTCTTGTTAAAATAATACTTAACAACGTGTTTTTTTTTTTGATTTTTTAAGATGCTCTTATGATACTACTTATCAACAAATCATCTGTTTCAATCATCTGTAACAACTTAACATCTGTAGCATTACTTTCTCTCCTAATCGGCTCGTTTACAAATCAATTTTGCAGATTATTTATAATAACCTTTTCGACTATTTTCTTATTCAATTATTTATTTTTTATACAGGGTGTTTCAGATTATTGTTGCATAACTTTAAGATTCGATAGAACTTTTAAAATTAATGCATAAAGTTTATATAACCATGGGTCGAAAAATGCGTGGCTTCCTAAATACAGGGTGTTTAAATTTACTTTCTAAAATAGTTTTTTTTGAATATTTCGAACAATATTTGATGTATAACAGTGAAAATTGGTATACAAGGGCTTTTTGGTACGACAAAACGAACCATTGGCATAGTTTTACTGTAGCCGCTAGATGGCGCTCTCTACTGTACCTGTAGTGTATTAAAATGACCGAAAATTTTTTCTTAGTGCAATTTTTTGCTTTTTGAATAAAAAACTGATTCTTCGCACTTTTCAACATAAGCTCTCGTTTTCGTTATAGTTAGCCGTTTTTGAGATATTTCGATTTTTAAGGTTCGATGCATTTT